AGGACCACACCCCTAAATGCATTGAAGCAACTGCCATGTGATTGGTTGATTAGATAATTGCATTAATGAGAAATTGAACAGGTGTTCCTAATGATCCTTTAGGTGAGTGTATATTTAAGTAGCTTATTAGTTGTATCAATATTGCATGTAATCAGTACCTATCTGTCAAAACAAATTAATTCAGTACAATTCAAAAATGTTTTGACAATATTTATTGTCACTTGACATACAACTTTGGCCAGCTGGCTGGAGTGAGACTTTCAATTCGAGATGTCTGCACACATATGTAACAGTTCTTACCTTGTACATAGTCTGCTTTTGTATTTAACCGTGTAAATACACCTTTGACGTAGCTAATTTTACGTTTTATAATGGAATAATATAGATTTGCCGTAAGATTTCCAGCGTGAGTCTGAAAGTGTGTCATGCCAGATGCTTGAGATTTGGCAGCCATGAAAATGTACATTTTTTGTTTCACCTGAGTTTATTTATATAACAGATAACATTACTTTATACATATGCTAAAAAGCAGAAACTTCAACGAACATGAAATCACCAATAAACTATGTCTATTTATCCAACATGCAGTCACTCTGTTAGGAACATTACTGCTTTTTTGTTGCTGGTGTTAACTTCTCTGCTGCTATTAACACTAATGGCACATTAGCGCAGACAAAGGGCTGCATAAGCCAAACGATGTCTTGCTTGGCGGTTGAAGGTGTTTGACATTCATTGGCGTGGGAAACGGCGGTTCTACTGCTAAACCTCTAACGAAAACACTACAAACGCTGCGCCGGTTAAAATAGAAGCGTCCCGTCAGGTTTTAAATAATAACGAAATGTTTTGCCTGTTGGTCCAGGTCTGTATGGGACAGCTTCTGGGTCCGGACCCGGACCACGGTCCGCCTGTTAGTGACCTCTGTACTACACGTACAAATCTATTACTCTTAGAAAATGCAACTTATCCTTTTGAGGTTAAGTTACATTGTATCACAGTATGGAAAACCTGTTTTTTTTTCTACTTATTCAGAAAGGGGGTGAACTCTGCAGTGTAAACTTCTGCATATTAGCAGAATGACGTTGCATTTTTTTCTTTCTGTGGAAAATGAAAAAAATCGATTTACCAAACAGATTTAAAAATGAATTATAAACATGTGGCAGAATGGTACCTTGAGACCTCTTATAAGCGATGAATGAGCCAACAAAATCCCTCATCCTCCACTAGGAAAGATGACCCATATTTCAGTAGCTGTCTTCTTTTTTTTAGCTCTGGTGCTGCTATTGTTAACCAGTGTATAGTGCATTTCTGCATATTGTTGCATCCTCATAAGGATAATTGTAACACGAAATAATAATACTAATAATGAGTAAAATGTATTGCTCAAGAGCCATGAGAGAAAAAACACACGATTCACATTTTCCCCAGAATCATATATTATGATTGGGTGAGTAACAATGGTCTCATGCAGAATGCGCTGGAGCAAAAAGTCATTAATTGGCTCAGAAATGTAGTGAAGTGAAAGTAAAAGTTGCATCAACTTAAAATACTCAAATATATCCAGCATATTCCTAATTACTAAATACAGGATAGAAGTATTTGTACTTCATTACGTTACACCTCCGTATATATATTTGGGACGGTGTGAACTGGGACTTCGCCATCTTGCTCATTTGACTTTCTCTGCTGGCCTCTGTAGGATGGGTTCCCCTTTTGAGTCTGGTTCCTCCCAAAGTTTCTTCTTACTAGGGAGTATTTCCTTGCCTCTGTTACTTCTGACTTGCTCACTGGGGCTTTGGGCAGGGATAATGTAACGCACTTTGAGACAATGTCATATTGTGATCATGTGCTATACAAATAAAATTCAATTGAAATGAAAATATATATATAAAAATATATATTGTTATATATAGTTTTATTTGACAGTGAAATAAGTCAAAAACTGTTACTGTATTCTGTTTATATTTTATCTTGGGTATGAATGCATGTATTTTATTTTCCATAAAACATAATATGATTGTGTACAGCGTGTAAAGTTGGTTGAGTATTGTTGTGTGGATGAATTTTATTTATCAATGTCCTTTTGTTTCTAGCGAAAATGCCATGTAATTCGGAGATCCCTGACCCCCCAAGCTTGGAGAGTGTAGACACTATTGGAGCATGGAGGACCGGTGGTGAAGATGAACAGTCCTCAGGGACTTCAGGCCCCCAGGACCTGCCAGGCCAGGATCAGCCCTTGTCCTTCAACACGGACCGGCTGCCCCTGATTGTCGGCAGATCACGAGCGGGGAGTGGCAGCCGTGGAGCCGACGGCCTGACCCAGGCCCTGCTGTCTGGCCTGCCCAACCTCCAGAGCTCTCCGTTAGCCCAAGCCCTGTCAGCACAGAGGGGGGGCGTGGCGGCGGCTACCAGTTCCAGCTGTGCTCCTCAGAACACACCACATGTCCTGGGGCTGGCCTCTTACTGGTCCTCCGATGAAGACACCTGACTTACTAGCCAGCCAATAGCTAAAGGTTCTGAATCATGGATGTTTAGGGAGTGCCATCTTTGTTAATACAGCTGGGATAGCCGGCCTCAGTGTGGTGCTATCTAACTTTGCGCTATGTTTATCGTAGCTTTTTAGTGTAAGACAAGCACAGCTGGCCTGCACTTTCCTGCCTATTCGAGATTAAACGGCAATGATGCCTCCCTCAACCTCGAAGGGTCTGGTTGGTTTCATATTCATTTTTTGACTACTGCTACCCATCTTATCATTATCGCTCAAGCTAACGGTAGGAAACATGCTGACTCAAAAGTCCCACATCTAGCTGGTTTTACTATTTTTTTTTTTAAACATGCCGATGTGTGCTTTGGCGCTACCCACAGCGGACCCCAGACGCACCCTCCCGATCTGCATGCTGCTGCTGCTGGCTTATGTTTCCGAGAACTGAGCGATATTCTGCAATTCGGATGCGATCTTTTAGTCATTCGGGGAGCTGCCCACTCACCTGGAGCCAGGAGTTCATATTCTGGAAGTTCTGGAGAACAACCTAAGCCTAAGTCTGGTGTCTGTGGACAGTCTGCTTTTAATCCCTTTCTTGTTTGTGGTGACCTGTATTCCTGGAGTAGTCCACCTATGGTGTAGTGTACGTGCTCGGGTTTGTTTTCAATATGCCCAGTTTGTTTCATTGTTTTGACCTTCTGTGTAGAGACTTTTTGTTTCTCAGTAATGTCTGATGCAGATATTTAATGTTATTAGGGAAAAATTTGCCATTGTTTCCAGATAGATTGGTTATTAAAGCTAAGTAGAAATATTCACTTGGTTGCAGCAGGACCATGACGCAGGGAAATTATTCAATAGCATAAACTCATAAACAAATATAAGACCTAATCTTTTTTTCAGAAGAAGCCACCGTGACTGATGTGGTCCATGGAAACTGTTCTTTGAGTACAAAGAGAGTATGCATCAAGAAAGCGCCCAATTCCGGTAAATTTCACATGACATTGTCAGGTTCTTGCAGGCCCCTTTTGCAGAGCAAGCAAAGTGACGTCAGGACAGCGAGAAGGGTTGGGGTCTGGTTAGACCACAAAGCAAATGTTCCCTCGGCTAAAGCTCTCATGAATTTAATCCTGAAACTCATCAGCGAGCTATTTCATGTGGCAACTCGCCGAGACGCCTGTTAGGTTTCACGTCCCTGAAGTTAATCACACCGTTTCTATGTGGTTATGCACAGAACTCGGTAAATCTAAGCTCAAATGCCTGGATGTTTGAGACGTCCAGGTACCTTTACACTGGACACACCTTTGAGGCAAAGTGCACATATCTTGGCGCCATTTTTCTCTCTATACTTTTAGCGGTCACCGAATCAGTTTGGTTTTCGCCCTGCACATGCAAAGCGGGCAGCTGTTCTGAGCACCAGCTCACCTGTCTCAAAGTTTCTGATTCTTGGAAAAGTCTTCCTGTGACATGGGCACCTTTCCGAGAAGCCCTATCCAAGGTGACCTTCAAAGGCATCGTCTCCCCCTGTCACGTCTCTGCTGATGTCATCCTGTCTGAAGCACCAACAGAGCATACCTGCATTACCTGAAGAAGGCATATTAATCAGTAGATTATGAAATGATGCGAGAATGTCTTGTGTGTAACCTGGTTAGTGTCCCTGACTGATAATGGTGTTGGTTGTTTATGGTCATTTTGGTCTTAGTAACATCTCTCTGCATTGAGTGGTTACCAGATAGTTGTGTTAGATGTTGATTCGCTGCTTTCATTAGCCAATAGTTGCTCTTCAGTGCTTGTCAGGGTTTGGTGAGTGTGTCAGAGGCGTGACAGGGGCGTGTGGGTGGCCGGCGTGAGTTTCACTTCAGAGCCGTGTTATAAAGTTGAAGTGACAGGACGCGATGCCTTCCCCTGAAGATCACAGAGCCAGCTCTCCACGCATGGCAGGCATGGAATACGACCGCCGGCACATGCACCCTCCGGTCTTTCTGGTGGACCGAGGCGGCCTGGCGTCGGCGCCGGGCCTGCCCGGAGATCCCGGCCTGGTGCCCTGCTGGACGTTCCCCCCAGCCCGAGCAAAGCGCAAGAGGGGCCACGGGCGTGGGTGCATGGTCCTGATGGGGCTGCTGACGCTGCTGCTGCTGTTTGGTGCGATGGCGCTGGGCGCCTACCAGATACTGAGGCTGCAGTCTGAGCTGGCACAGCTGAAACAGGTTAGCACCGTTATCTGAAAGCCCACATCTGACGCCTGCTCAGTCTGGTCAGGCTATCGCTGATTTCTATGCTGACAAGAGATAATTTTAAACCAATTCCTGTTTTCATGCTTTTCCAGTTCAATAACTTTTTCAGATATCAAATTTTTTTGTACGCAAATTTTTTTTTACCTTATTACACCTTCTTTTATTCTTAATTGGAATACACAACACTCAAATTCTCTTTTTTTATGAATACTGAACCCTGGAAAGTGTGTGGGAAGAGCTGAAGGGGTGTTATTCCAAAATCAAGTATGTTTTGCGCCTCCTCATTTGGGCATTTTGTGTTGTGTAGTAAGTTTCATGTGACATTTAAAGTCTCGAGACCAGAACTGCGTCTTCAGCTGTGGTCACGGCCAGACCGGTGTGACAGGAAGTGTCTGTCACAGTCCCTCAATTTGAACAAGCAAGCCGGCACCCCGCCTTTGCACTTCATAACTCTCGTTTTCTCATAATTGCAGGACTTCAGTGCACAAAATGAGGGCACAGTCTCTGAGAAGTTGACCGGTAAGCCCTTGGCCCGTTTCCTGCGTGTGCACATAGGGTTCTGGGTCATTTGTAGATGTGCTAAGCGGCTTTTTTTTTTTTGCGCCCTGCTCTTTAAGAGGAATTTGCATAAATTCCGTTTTGGTGGTTGGTTGGGGGGGGGGATTCTCTGTTGCGCATGATGATGCCTCCTGACTCTGTTTGCGCTATCGCAGACCTTCGAGAGACCGATTCCCACCACGACGGGCTGAGGCAGGCAGCTCACCTCACGTGTAAGTAGAAAAAAAGGGACGAAAGGCCAACATTCACGTTACGGAAAAGGCATCAGCAGGCAGGACTGTTTGCCAAGTATGAGTACAGACATAGTGGAATTCCTTAGTTTTCACATGTCCCATCTTCTCTTTTGAGCCATGCACACACATATATGCACATTCGATTTGAAAAAAGGAAATTCAGTTATTTCAAACTGATCAAAAGTGTATTTGTTCATGAAGCAGCCTGCATGCGAGACGGAACGAACATTCGGCTGATTTTGTGGTGCGTTTGGTTCTTCAGTTCAGCTTCCCAAGGATAAGCAGGCAAAGACACTGGAATGGGAGCCCCAGCACGGACGAGCCTTCACTCAGGGTGTGGTCTACCGGGACGGGGCCCTGCAGGTGAAAGAGGCGGCCCTCTACTTCGTCTACTCGCGGGTGGAGTACATGGCCAGGCAGTGTCCCAACAAAGACGCCCTCATCCACGTCGTCTTCAAGAGGGGCCAGAAGGACCCAAAGCCACTGGTGCTCTTGAAGGGCCATTGCGAGGGTTACTGCCAGCAACAGCAGGATGGCTACTGGTCCACCAGTAGCTACGTGGGCGCCGTGCTCCACCTGGACCAGCAGGACCAGATCTTTGTCAACGTGTCCAAGCCAGGCCTGCTCAGCCACAACTTCGATGCAAATTTCTTCGGACTCTTCAAGATCTAAGACTGCTGCACCATGAATTCTATCACCTTCCATCAGTTTGCCCTGACCAAATGAAAGCTGTAAGCCATCTTGGTAACACAGGTTATAAATCCTTTAGCTAATATGAACAATTTATTTTTTGGGGGTTATCATGGCTTGGTTTGCGGTTTACAAGGAAATGAAAACTCACTGTGAGTTCACTGTGGTATTTGGTGTAGATATTAGTAGCAGGGGTATAAATGTGTAAAGATTTCAAACACTAACATGGTGCTAGATCATTATTACAAGTACCTAGATATTTATATGAGATCTGATTCTGGTGAAATCGGGTTTAGATTTGAATGTATGTTCTTATGAACAAAAAATTAATTTAATGCTCTTCCAACCAACAAATGCTTTTCCAACCAATATATTTTTTGCTATATGGAATAAAATGCATACTTTGTAATATTTATAAATAGTGAGGACTGAATAATGTGAATGAATAACTCATATTTGTTCATGATTAAGCTGTACAAATAAATTGTTTACCACCAGGGCCTGGTTCTAGTTAAAATGCCTCCAATATGGTATTTTGGATCCTGTGGGTTTTTCAAATAGATATTGCTGATCGATCAGCTGTGTGAAAAAAATGGGCCCAAGTCAGATTGAGTAAATTAGTGATGTCAGTCAAGTTTCAGACATTTCTGTTTCGCTCTGACTTCTTTCCTGTGCTATAATTGGGTGGGGGGTGCTACCTATTTCCTGCAGGCTGTTTCAGCTGAGGCTGCATCATCTCTATACTCACTATTTATTATTTAAAGGTGGCCTTTCCAGCCACCCGGTCCAGGGGAAAGACTGCACACAGACTGACCACCAACCTCCATCAAATTTACCATTTAAATAATTTTTTTTTTCTCTCATATTCTTACCACTACTATGACTGGTGTGCAGTTTTGCACAGTCAAGTCACCACTGGAACATTCAAGACCATTGCACATTATATAAATTCAATTTATTTTTATATGGCACCTTTAACAACACAGTTGCCTCAAGGCTCTAGACCGGGGGGGTATTTTCCGTACGTTGCTTAAATCATCCGAGATCGCTTGGATCCGAAATCATCTTGGATGAGTTAATGCCGGTGAAACTCATCTGGGATAAGTTGGTTTTTCAAACGCAGCTGTGTAGTAGATCTAGCTGGATCCATTCATCTGAGATTGAAAAGCCCATATATATTGAGTGTGTGTGTGTGTGTGCATGTGTGTGTGTATATATATATATATATATATACTGTATGTATGTGTGTGTGTGTATGTATGGATATATATGTGTGTGTGTGTTAATTTTATGTATATGAAATGTAGGATATCTTTAATATAAAACATTCCTTTTGAAGCTAATAAGAAGAAGGCAGAAAAAAACCTTTGGAAATTCTGGGTAATGAGAATATTAGTGTGATTTTTTAATTCCTTATAGAACTGTAATTTTATTGCGTATACATTACAATGCAATGGCATAAAATGCCTCTTTATTTGCCTGCACTCGCAGGTGTCCGGGAAAAACAATTGCGAATTGCCTGGCAAACTCTACTCATTGATATATTTTCCGCATCGCCTACAGTTTACAAAAAAGTGCTGCTTCCACAATATCTCAAGGCGATGCACATTGTCTGTGTGGCTGTGAGAGCCTGACTTCGCCTAGTTGGACTTCCACTATACGGAGCTCATAAGTCTTTAAGATAAAATATTCCATCTCGGCTGAAGCGGTATCTGTCGAAAAGAATATCATCCGACAACAATAAAAGATCTTGCCGAACGCGCAAAACCCTCTCAATTTGAAATTCCCTTATTATTATTTGTGAACCGATTGCAATTGCTGGCTCATCCATGAATGGAGAGGCCATGACTGAACGGATTTCCATGCACGGACACCGATCAAGTGCGTGAGCTAATCCTTGTTTACATAGAACAAACCTGCTCCGAGCAGGTTTGAGGATTTGGATGTGCTGCTATGACAACACATCCAGCAAGAGTTTTGAAAAACCGACAGATCCAGGATCATGCCAAATCATCAACAATTACATCCAGCTAAATGAGTAATCCATGTACGAAAAATACCCCCCCCCACCCCGGGGTGGTCAATATTATCAAGTATGGGCTATTGTGTATGCAGGTTTTCGCTGCAACTCCCTAATTCAATAACTGATTAGAGGACTGATCAGCTGAAGAGTCCTCACACCTGTGTCTGAACAGCTCACCTAGAGGTCATCCCAAAACCCTGCATACACACTGGCTCTTTGCGGCTGATCAGTCAAACTTGTATTGAGACATGAAAGAAAATCCCATGCCATTGGCTGTTTTCAAAGGGACAGAGCATTTCCAAGAATTCCATTGGGTGTTACCTACATGGGAAAGGCCATTCTAAAAAGGGCTGCGTCCTGCTGTTTAAATCATGCCACTGGGCCATGCTTATAGATCATCTGACATCCACAAACCCCCGTATGATTTCAACAGAAATCTATAAATAGAAACTCTCAAAAGAGAACGCAGAAATGTATGAGCATAAAATGTAAATCTTGGCTATTTTCCTCTTGTGATACTGACAGGGTCATGGGGTGTCTCCATGGATACTGTGGTGAGTTCACACCTCCCAGGTTGGTGGTTCTGCCCCAGTGTGTATGTTTCCCTGTGTTTGTGTGGGCATCTTGTTGCTACTCTGCTTTCTTCCTACACTTCAAAGGTATGTGGTTTATGTAGGTTCTGTGGTGCCTCTGAATTGCTTTTCAGATGTGATTGCACATGGATCCCCCATGATTTTCTATTCTAGATCAGTGTTTCCCAATCCGGTCCTTGGGGACCTACAGACCGTCTGGTAGGGAGCTGGGAGGGAGCAAAAATGTAGACCATCTGATAGGGAGCTCGGAGGGAGCAGAAACGCAGACCGGTTGTGGGTCCCCAAGGACCGGATTGGGAAACACTGTTCTAGATCTTTCGATTTGGAGAGTCCCATTATTAACTGATGGACAAAGTCCAGGCTGGTGCTGAATGCGTATCTGTAGGCCTTGGACACTTCTTACAGGTAACAGTTATTTGCTTATTTGCTTCACAGACAGAGTGTTTCTGGATGAGACAGCTGCTGTATCAGGATTGAGGGCCTTTCTGTCCTTATTCTGGGTCTTCATTAGTTACCTTGGGTGATGTGATGTCATCAGACCATATTGTGATACTTCCTACATTCTATCATCTACCATATCTGATTTCTCTATTCCTCCATCTTAACTCCCCAGCTGGCTTCATGTTGGTCATTATAGTTCTAAGGGGACGTTGCGCTTAGCTTGTGGTTGGGAGGGGTCATTCGGGGTGGTGTGTGGCTTAGTTGGTTAGTGCTTGTGATCGGAAGGTCACCTGTTCAATTCCCGTGGTGGTCAGAGTGATTTCACAATTGTTTTCACCTTGAGCAAGACCCTTAACTGATTACTCCCAGGACTGCCTGACCCTGCTTTCTCAAAAAAAAGGTCTGGATAAAAGATAAAATGGAATCAGATGCTGTGGCAGGTTGTTTAGTGGCAGCAGACGAATGTCATAGTTATTTGGGCTGTGCTGTACCTGGCCATGTTCTGACTTTGCACCCTGGACCACCTCTCTCCTTCAGATTTCCCAGAGCTTAGTCCAGTAGTGCTGACCCTATACAAGGCACTTTATTGGCCTGTATTCTGTTTCCAGTGCAGTACCTAACCACTGTTATGCAGTATGGCCTGATCACCTGACCATCGTTTTGCAGTATGGCCTGATCACCTGACCATCGTTTTGCAGTATGGCCTGATCACCTGACCATCATTTTGCAGTATGGCCTGATCTCCTGACTACTATTATGCAGCAGGGCCTGTATCACCCTACTCAACCAGCAATTATTTCCATGTTTTCATATTGACCATCAGTGGGAGGATTCCACTGCACCTTCATCATTCTACCGTGTGGTTTCCCCAGTCTTGTCTGTAGGTAGCAATAAGAAGTGTGAGGGTGTGGACATCTTTAAAAGTGAGGGGTCAGGTGATAATTACATGCATTCACTTCACATGTGCCTTATTTCCAGCCTTATAAGAACACCCCCGGCCACTGACAGAGCTCTCCTTGGACCCAACACCCACCCGAGTTGTGTTTGTCTCTCTTCTCCTCCATCCATATATCAAAGAGGCTGTGTTTTGTCTTCATTCCCTCCCACCCATTTTAATGACCCCGCCTCTGCTCCTGTTCTCCAGTAAGGTCAGTTTGCCACCTGTCCCCGGACCAGTCACACAGTAACCTTCACCAGAATGTGCCAGACAACAATGTCATATCATCCCAAAATTGTCTGGCATCTCTTGGGTTTAAGGTTTGACTGACAGGTGATAGCGGGGGGTATGTAGCTCAGCTGGTTAGGACACTGCACCTGTGACTGGAAGGTCACTGGATCAAATCCCAGGGTTGGTAACATGATTTTGGTGTTGGGCCCCCTCTGCAAGGCCCTTAACCACAATTGTTCCTGAGACCATCTGACTCTGCCTTCTCATAAATGTACATCTGTTTGGATAAAAATGTCTGCTAAGCAAAAATGTGGCATGGTCCCAGTCTCATGGCTTAAATTATTAATTAATAAGAAGTTATGCTGGGAGGGGGGTGATGTTTGCTCATTTGTTTTTCACTTCAGATGCAGTTTCTATATGCACTTTCTGTTTCACGTAGGTTCCTATATATCTTCGACAAAGAAAATTTTCAAGTTATTTACATCGTTCTTCTAGCCTGCTTGTTGGTATCGACAAAAGTGGCATGAATTCCTACCGTATTTGCTTTCCCACAAATAACAGGGCTAATCTCTTTCCGTTCCTCTTTGATCATAGTTCTGCTTGTGCGTCTGCATGTCTATTCACCAAAATGAAAGAGGAAGCAATTTCCGGGTACTGAATTACTGCCAATTGTAAACCTCCGTGCATTAGAAAATTCTGCCTTTCTGATGATGCAGTGGGGTTTACCCAGGATGACAGTAACTGTGGCACAGTGGGATGCTGATGGGCTTGTTTAATCGTAATCTGATAAGCAGCTCGGCGAGTCTCTTAGAAAGGCATGCCGTGCCATCATCGTGGTGATGGGCAGCGGCGACACGCCAGCGGGCTGCCAACTACGAGTTTCCAAGGCCCCTCCTGGGGCTTCCTGCATCTGCTAAGGTTTCATACCTGGGGGTGGTAAAGCCTCTGCAGGGGGGGGGGGGGGGGGCGGAAATTATGCAAAGGTGCAATGAGCGTGAGAGGAGTCGTTGGGGGTGTTAGACGAAGAGAGAGGGGAGCGGCTTCTAGTCTGGAGTGACTAACGGGCATGACGCTCCTTGTCAAAGGGCCAGAGTCACAATCCTCTCATTTAAAATCACAGCGTTTCTACATCAGCGGCTGCCACATTATTCTCTGCACGGTACAGAGATGGCATAGATCGTTAAGTAATTAGTCAGATTAAAGCCATAATAAGTATAACACGACACAATCCGAGACACAGGTGGTTAAACTTCCGCTCAGAATGAAAGTGTCCCCTGATTTTAAAATGCATG